CACCTTTTTTTTTTTTTTTATTAATAATAAATGCACCAAAAATGAAGAAATAAAAAATGTTTATTAAATGTTGGCACTGAAGCCTGCGGAGGATTGCAGCCGGGATCATTGCATGTACAGTGCGCAGGCTCCGGTATTATTTGCCCCCAGCCCCGGGTCTGTACGGAGGTAGGAACCTTTCAATGCGCCCCCTACCCGCCAAAGCCCCCCCCCCCCCCCCCCCCCTTGAACCAAAAAAAAGTAACACAACATACAATAAAGTGCAGATAGAGGTGCTCGAGAAAGAGGGCCACAATATCCCTGCCCCGCCCCCCAGGGCCCAAGACTCCTGACAAGAGCAAGACACTCTAACGCAGGGGTCTCAAACCTCCAGCTGTGGTGGAACTACAAATCCCATGCGGCATTGCAAGATTCTCACAGCCACGACTCCCGGAGAGAGATGCATCATGGGATTTGTAGTTTCGCCACAGCTGGAGGGCCGGAGGTTTGAGACCCCAACGGTTACCATACTGCAATCGACCATATGGGTAACACGGCGCTGTCATGACTCTTGACCGCTTATGGTGCATCTTGGCAGGTTATCCTTCACCCAAAGTGGACCTGTCATCGGACATCATTTTTTTCACGTGGAGCGCAGGTTTACACATATTTTCTACCTCTCACGGAGATCTCAGTAGCCTCCCGGACAATGCCTCTGTCTGCTTTTTACTCCTGATGGACGGAGCCATCTTTGTTCAGGTGACCACCTACTTCCTGGCCCGAGGTGGCAGCTCAGAGATGACACAGTGATGTAAATCCCCGGGGCCTCTGCAGCTCTTGGCCAAACACGTCTACAAAGTCGCAACCGGGGGAGGCAGAGGAAATGCTTCCTCCTGCCCGCAGCTGACTGATGACATCATCAGGTTGAGCCTGACGGAGCCGTGTCTTTCTTCAACCTGAAATACTACGTAACTATCTCCTGCCTGGAATTCAGGGCATGTTATGGGATCACCAGTCACGCCAGGTTCCTTTTTATAGACAAGGTCTCCTCCTTTAAGGAACAGTTACATTGATCATAGACTCTTCTCTTGCAGGAGCAGGCTACCTTCGATGACATCGCGGTCTACTTCTCCAAGGATGAGTGGGATTACTTGAACAAAGAAGAGAAAGATCTATACAGGGAGGTGATGATTGAGAATTATCGGAGCCTCCAGTCGCTAGGTAAGACACCACAATCTATTTTTTTCCTATGGGCAGGTCCCAAATTTCGGAACCCCTTCCACGGTAGGTATCCAGTGTGTTATTGGCAGACATGACCGGGGGAGGATGTGTATGTGGATCTCTCTCTTCAGCTCTCTTAGTCATGTGACTGGCCGGCATCAACAATCATGTATGGACGGCCCGGGGGAAGAGTAAAGAAGGCGAACGCTATGAACCAGACAACTGGAGAGAATAAAGTGACAGTCAGACAAGGCAATAGTACACTATACCGCCAGACGTTTGTAGACACCCGACCAGCGCATCCGTCTAGGTGGCCAAAAATGGACGCCGCTGCTAATTATTGAGCGCAAGTGTTTCCAGTGAAGGGAAGTAAAAAGCACGCCAGCAGCATGATAGACCTTCCGTAAAACGTTATCAAATACTACATCCGATCCTCACACACACTTGTGATGACACTCGCTGCATAAAGCCCTCCGGAATGAAACCCACGCCAGTCACCGCCAGGGCGCGATTCTATTCTATGTGCCCAGTTCATGCCACGGCGCCGGTGTGATGTGTGGTGCGGTATAATGCAGACATGCTGCACGGTGGATGCCACCAGAGGTTACCGCACCGAAACCGTGCAAAATCCAAAAAATGGAAGATGGAATGTTGATGTATCATCGCAAGTGCCACCATCTTAGAGCCCAATAACATGGTGTGTGACATCGGTGTCTGTAGAATTACCATGATTTCTGAACAAAATCTATTTCCAGGCAAAGCTGTCCCCCTCTCACCCCCCCTTACCCCATCTCCCACCCCCTCTTACCCCATCTCACACCCCCTCTTACCCCATCTCCCTCCCCCTCTTTCCCCATCTCACACCCTCTCTTACCCCATCTCCCTCCCCCTCTTTCCCCATCTCACACCCTCTCTTACCCCATCTCCCTCCCCCTCTTTCCCCATCTCACACCCTCTCTTACCCCATCTCCCTCCCCCTCTTTCCCCATCTCACACCCTCTCTTACCCCATCTCCCTCCCCCTCTTTCCCCATCTCACACCCTCTCTTACCCCATCTCCCTCCCCCTCTTTCCCCATCTCACACCCTCTCTTACCCCATCTCCCTCCCCCTCTTTCCCCATCTCACACCCTCTCTTACCCCATCTCCCTCCCCCTCTTTCCCCATCTCACACCCTCTCTTACCCCATCTCCCTCCCCCTCTTTCCCCATCTCACACCCTCTCTTACCCCATCTCCCTCCCCCTCTTTCCCCATCTCACACCCTCTCTTACCCCATCTCCCTCCCCCTCTTTCCCCATCTCACACCCTCTCTTACCCCATCTCCCTCCCCCTCTTTCCCCATCTCACACCCTCTCTTACCCCATCTCCCTCCCCCTCTTTCCCCATCTCACACCCTCTCTTACCCCATCTCCCTCCCCCTCTTTCCCCATCTCACACCCTCTCTTACCCCATCTCCCTCCCCCTCTTTCCCCATCTCACACCCTCTCTTACCCCATCTCCCTCCCCCTCTTTCCCCATCTCACACCCTCTCTTACCCCATCTCCCTCCCCCTCTTTCCCCATCTCACACCCTCTCTTACCCCATCTCCCTCCCCCTCTTTCCCCATCTCACACCCTCTCTTACCCCATCTCCCTCCCCCTCTTTCCCCATCTCACACCCTCTCTTACCCCATCTCCCTCCCCCTCTTTCCCCATCTCACACCCTCTCTTACCCCATCTCCCTCCCCCTCTTTCCCCATCTCACACCCTCTCTTACCCCATCTCCCTCCCCCTCTTTCCCCATCTCACACCCTCTCTTACCCCATCTCCCTCCCCCTCTTTCCCCATCTCACACCCTCTCTTACCCCATCTCCCTCCCCCTCTTTCCCCATCTCACACCCTCTCTTACCCCATCTCCCTCCCCCTCTTTCCCCATCTCACACCCTCTCTTACCCCATCTCCCTCCCCCTCTTTCCCCATCTCACACCCTCTCTTACCCCATCTCCCTCCCCCTCTTTCCCCATCTCACACCCTCTCTTACCCCATCTCCCTCCCCCTCTTTCCCCATCTCACACCCTCTCTTACCCCATCTCCCTCCCCCTCTTTCCCCATCTCACACCCTCTCTTACCCCATCTCCCTCCCCCTCTTTCCCCATCTCACACCCTCTCTTACCCCATCTCCCTCCCCCTCTTTCCCCATCTCACACCCTCTCTTACCCCATCTCCCTCCCCCTCTTTCCCCATCTCACACCCTCTCTTACCCCATCTCCCTCCCCCTCTTTCCCCATCTCACACCCTCTCTTACCCCATCTCCCTCCCCCTCTTTCCCCATCTCACACCCTCTCTTACCCCATCTCCCTCCCCCTCTTTCCCCATCTCACACCCTCTCTTACCCCATCTCCCTCCCCCTCTTTCCCCATCTCACACCCTCTCTTACCCCATCTCCCTCCCCCTCTTTCCCCATCTCACACCCTCTCTTACCCCATCTCCCTCCCCCTCTTTCCCCATCTCACACCCTCTCTTACCCCATCTCCCTCCCCCTCTTTCCCCATCTCACACCCTCTCTTACCCCATCTCCCTCCCCCTCTTTCCCCATCTCACACCCTCTCTTACCCCATCTCCCTCCCCCTCTTTCCCCATCTCACACCCTCTCTTACCCCATCTCCCTCCCCCTCTTTCCCCATCTCACACCCTCTCTTACCCCATCTCCCTCCCCCTCTTTCCCCATCTCACACCCTCTCTTACCCCATCTCCCTCCCCCTCTTTCCCCATCTCACACCCTCTCTTACCCCATCTCCCTCCCCCTCTTTCCCCATCTCACACCCTCTCTTACCCCATCTCCCTCCCCCTCTTTCCCCATCTCACACCCTCTCTTACCCCATCTCCCTCCCCCTCTTTCCCCATCTCACACCCTCTCTTACCCCATCTCCCTCCCCCTCTTTCCCCATCTCACACCCTCTCTTACCCCATCTCCCTCCCCCTCTTTCCCCATCTCACACCCTCTCTTACCCCATCTCCCTCCCCCTCTTTCCCCATCTCACACCCTCTCTTACCCCATCTCCCTCCCCCTCTTTCCCCATCTCACACCCTCTCTTACCCCATCTCCCTCCCCCTCTTTCCCCATCTCACACCCTCTCTTACCCCATCTCCCTCCCCCTCTTTCCCCATCTCACACCCTCTCTTACCCCATCTCCCTCCCCCTCTTTCCCCATCTCACACCCTCTCTTACCCCATCTCCCTCCCCCTCTTTCCCCATCTCACACCCTCTCTTACCCCATCTCCCTCCCCCTCTTTCCCCATCTCACACCCTCTCTTACCCCATCTCCCTCCCCCTCTTTCCCCATCTCACACCCTCTCTTACCCCATCTCCCTCCCCCTCTTTCCCCATCTCACACCCTCTCTTACCCCATCTCCCTCCCCCTCTTTCCCCATCTCACACCCTCTCTTACCCCATCTCCCTCCCCCTCTTTCCCCATCTCACACCCTCTCTTACCCCATCTCCCTCCCCCTCTTTCCCCATCTCACACCCTCTCTTACCCCATCTCCCTCCCCCTCTTTCCCCATCTCACACCCTCTCTTACCCCATCTCCCTCCCCCTCTTTCCCCATCTCACACCCTCTCTTACCCCATCTCCCTCCCCCTCTTTCCCCATCTCACACCCTCTCTTACCCCATCTCCCTCCCCCTCTTTCCCCATCTCACACCCTCTCTTACCCCATCTCCCTCCCCCTCTTTCCCCATCTCACACCCTCTCTTACCCCATCTCCCTCCCCCTCTTTCCCCATCTCCCACCCCCTCTTACACCACCTCACACCCCCTCTTACCCCATCTCACACCCCTTCTTTCACCATCTCACACCCCCTCTTACCCCATCTCACACCTCCTCCTACCCCATCTCACACTCCCTCTTACCCCATCACACACCCCCTCCCTCACCCATTCAGATGTTTTTGAAAAACTTCCTTACAAAGCTTTTTCATACTAACCTAACTCCACCAACCGTGTCCCTTACCGGCGTTGCTTCCAGGAGTGACAACTGGTGGAACCAGTGCTACAATCTGTGCCCGTGCCAACTGGCCACCTCTCCATGCAGCCTTCCGAATAATGAGAGGGCCCTGCTGCTGGACATCCAATAGGAAGTGTCCTTGTCACATATGCAATGACGTGGTCACTTGAAGAAGGACGCTGTGCAGAGAAGACTCGGGACCTCGTGTGTGACATGAGCACGGGTTTTGGTGAGTAATATGGTCATTTGGATTAGGCATTCTGTTACACTAGCTCAGCAATATACTGGGGGGCGGGTTTGAGCTGTGAACCAATCACAATATTCCACGCCCTTGAGGACCTTACTCTCCCTTCTGCATATTTAGGGAGAGATCTACCAGTGTATAGTTGGGCACAATACCTGGACACTTGGAGCCCATGCAAACATGTGCAGAACCTTCAAATTTGAATGTATCTTTTGGGATCATTTGATCCCACTGTGTTGGAATTCTTTATCCAGACCTCCATTCGGCTAAACATAAGCAATTGCATGCTCCTCCCTGTTGCCCAGATGATACGTGCCAGCCACATTCAAATCATACTTTCTACCAACCTAATTGTTTCTGTAAAGTATTTGGACTTATGTCTGAGGCGATGAACTGAAGAGAGAGACCACTGTTGTCCCAGTCAGCCAACTGTGGGCTAGACTAGAGGACATCTAAAGAAATCCTTTGTCTTCTTTGATATCGCTCTTCTTGTAGTAAGACCAGTATCTGAAGAAGAAAGGCAGGAACAGGAACTAGAAGGAAATCTAGATTGATAGAGACCTCGATGGTCTCAGAACAGTTCTCGAAGGACAGCAAAAGAAAGGTGAAAGGTTGTATTTGCAAACTTGCTTTAGTTGGCTTGATATTTTAAAGGAACTAAAGCGCTTGTAAACTGTATGATTCTGGAAACGTCTGATCGTTGTTGCTTAAAGGCAGCAGCAATTGTGTTCTTTTCCTTTCGCGGGGTAACATTTTAGAAGCGATCACGCACTT